TAAAAGTGCAACTTTTAAGACGAGACAAATTTGCTTTGATTAACCAAATAAAATCTGTTCTAAAGTTATTTACGAAGAGTAATGTCGTAAATTTGATTCGATTTTTCAAGGAAATTCGTTTATATAATATTATCAAAATAAAAAATATCCTTGGTGGGAATGTGTATGCGTATAAAATACTGGAAGAAAATGATTCCCGGTTGCGTCTCGAATAGGAAGAAAAATTTTACGACCTGTGTTCTACACAGGAACGATAAACAAGTATTCGTGTAAATGTACTACTTCTTTATCTCCATTTTATTTGTGTTCAGGGTTGTGTCACGTGCGTTTATGTGTGCGTGGGTGTGTGCATACACGAACAACAGAAATATAAATATCCCATCTCGAGTTATCCTTATCTTTTTTCCTTCCTTCTAGTTTTTATGAGAATCCTTTTTTCACAGATAACTTGCGTCGGAGTTCAACGTTCTCTTTCCAACCCCATATTATTTTTTCTACCCCTAGTTTCCCTATCAACTCTCATTTGTATACCCTTTCAGCACCATACTAAAAAAAAAAAAAATAAAATAAAAAATAAAACCCTTTTCGAATTTCCGGCAAAGACCAACATTTTTTCTTACTCCACATCTAGTGATTCTTCTTATCGACGCAAACTATGTTTATGGGGGGAGGAACTTTGACGTTGCGTATACGCTTGAGTGAAAAAAAATATTCCCATATTTTTTTTTTTCTTGGTGCCATTTACGAACCCCGATAGAAAACTATATGGATGTAAAAGGAAAAATAAAAAAATCCCCCCCCCCCGAAAAAATTGAGATTTAAAAGACCACGAATTTCGAATTTGTTCAGTTTATTGTACAATTTCGTCGAGAAATTGAATATTACGTTTTTATATTCGTGATTGAAATCATATTTTATATAGTTTATTGTTTAAAGTACAATATTAAATAAAGGATCAAATGTATATTCCTATTAAGGTTCTACGTTGACTTTCTAAAGTACAATTCGATCCTATTGTTGTCCTGTGAGAGTCCTGTGTTAGTAAAGATAAACCGAGCCAGGATGTATCCATTTGTAACCAGGATGATAAGCCAATGGTAAAGCTGGTGGATGTACTGCTGGTATAACTTTCACATAGCTTTGTGGATAAATTAGACCATGCGATGGATATAATGGTGGTACTGGTACTGGAGCTGGTTCTGGTTCTGGTCCAGGTGCTGGTGCACTCATAACACCGTTCATCGCCATAATCGTCGATATCAATAATATCTATTCCAATAATTTCGATTATCATTTTAATTAGAATATACTTTTGTATATTTTTTATTTTTAATTTTTATTTAAATGATTCACTTAATTGTAAAATGGAATGAATTAAAGGTACGATGATTTTGTATTCGTGAGAAATAATAGTTATATTCAATGGTGTTACTGATTTTTATTATGGAATTTTATAAATGAGGAAAACAAGTATCATTTTTGACAAAAACTATATAACTATAGTTATATTAAGTGGACCAGAAAATAATGTCGCTTTTTAACCTTAAATTCAAACGAATAAATTTTGTTCTAACGAGTTTTTACTTTTAATCAATAATGTAATAACCACCCCTCGTTATCAACAACCTTTTTTCATCTAGTATGCAAAATTTTTAATACCAAATGTATAAAACTCAATTGGTTTTTGATAAAAATATAAAAAATTAGACATTTGTAGAAACGACATTACTTTCTGGTCCCCCTAATATATAACTATATAATTCTGACATCGATGATAAAATAAACGTTTAAAATATAACAAACAAAGAAAAAAATAGTAAAGCCTAGTAGAAGAGCTTAATGATCAAAATTGTTTTGTTAGTTTTGATTTAGCATGTAATAGAGATAAAATATCGTTAAAAGTGAACTTAAAAAAAATCTCGATAATATGTAAAACGCGTAAAAATGGCTGAAATACTACTATTTACCAGTTTGAACATGTTAAACGTTTTATCGGCTTTCCGTTCGCAAACACGATGAGAAGGACTTCGAATCGATGCTACTGTTAGCACTGCAGAAAAACCGAACTCTCTTTATATATATATTTGTGTCGAAAGCTTTGTCGTACTCTCATCTATATACCCCCTACCTATACACACACATATATATGCATTTATGACCTTGATCATGCCTACCATGAGAAGAACCTCCTCCTAGCCTTTGTCCTTCTCCACGAGAAGAAGAAGAATTAATTTTTTTTTCTTTTTAATAATCCTTCAAAGATCCTTTCTTCCGCGTTTCTGCAGCAGCAACAACTTATGTCAATAAAAAATCATCATCTATACTTGAGAAAACAGTGAGAACCAATAAAATAGAAGGTATAGATTGATATCGTGATCCCTCTTGATTTATAGAAGGACTTTTTAACCTGGACATCGATAGTTTATTCATCGTTTTGAAGGACATTGCAAAGATTGTTACAATCGGAAGATATCTTGAGAAAAAAATACCAATGAGAAATCTATATATCTAATTTATTCTATCTAATACATAGATTGAATAGAATGGAATCAAATGGAATAGAGAATAAAATAGAGAAATTGATCTGAGCTTATACTTATGTCAATTTTGACATCGAACAAGGAAATACTATTTTCTCAATATTATTTTTCCTAGTTTTTTTATCTATTATACCAAAGCTACTTCTCAAGCATATCCGGAAATCATTAAAAAAAACAAGCGCGAGAATAACAGATGATTTCTTTTCACCAAAAAAATACAAAAAAAAAAAAGTGGAATCTTTTCAAATGTAAAGAAAGGACCTATCATATTTTTTTTTTGTTCCTATTCTTTTCGTTCTCTGTTAGAAAAGTTCGATAAGTATCTTTTATCTCTTACCTTAGTAGTCATCCCTTCGGATTTGCATTACAAAGAATAATAACATCTGACAGTAATAGTAACGTTCGTTCAATGCATTTTCATGCCATTAAAACGAGTTTTATCGATTTTCATAAAAATCTTTAGACGACCTTAACCTTTCACCTTATTCGTCAAGATTATGTTCGAATGATTTCAATGATGATGATAATGATAATGATAATGATAATGATAACGATTGATTATGAGCGATTTCTCAGTAAAGAAAAACTTTTGAAAAAAAAAAATCTAATAAAAATATTTTATATACCAAAATCATATTATAAAAACTGGAATATATAATTTCAATACACACATTTAATTACTATAAATATTTTCTATGTGTTACTAAAACTACATGTAAATTCAACGAAGCGTGACCAAAGGATAAACCTGTGTTGTGTGGCCTTTCGAAAGAGAGAATGGATTTATTTATTTCTCGATGGTATTTATTGATATTTATCCTACGTACGTAAGATAAAATTACAAAAATTATCATCTGATTTGTATTTCGAATTATCTACTTGAAAAATGTATGCTAATTTTTAATTATACCGATGGCATAAACGGAGTCAATTGATTTTTTTTTTTTTAATTATTTCGGTTAAACGATTTATTTCATTTATTCATCAATTATCATTTTAACATTTTAACAAGAACAATTTAATTTTAAAAATGAAATCTTGGTAATATAAAATATTTTTGTTTTTAAATAACTATCATAAAAAGTCTATTTATTATTGTGTAACATTTTTAAATGTAAGCATTAGAAACAAAACCTGATTTTATTCTTCGACAATGTTGAATGCTTGATTAGAATAATTATGTAAGAGTAAATACGCGTATGTTGGTTTTATCGTACACGTAGATCTCTTTCTCTCTATATATATATACATATATATACTTGTCCTACTTGATTTTCCACGTTAAACAATTCACTGCCACAATTACATAAACCGGAATGATATCGGTCTCGAGTATCTAATTAGAATATTGGATTTGTCCTTTCCGTGCTAATTTCATCATTCGATCATGAGTGCCCCGATAATCTGTTATATTAAAACCAATGGAATTTATCCGTAAAAAAGAAAATATATCGAACTTATTTTACCGATAATAGGTGGTGGTGGTGGTTGTGGTGATGGTCAACACCTACGAAAAAAAGAAAAAAAGAAATACGCGAAAGAAAAATAAAAAAAAAAAACCAAATTGCGTTTACAAAACCGCGTGAAAATTTGAGAAACACAGTAAGAGATGGGAATGGGAATGGGTTTAAACAAAAAAAAAAAAAACAAAAAAAAAACAACAAGTTTTCTATGAAAAGTTTGATGCGTCAGATGTCTAGGATCGTGAAAAAAATAAACCAAGAAAAAACCGATAAAATATTTCTACAATATTGCAACCTTAAAGTTGAGGGAAAATTTTAACAAATTATTTTCAATATGGTATCGATAAAAAATCAAGAGGGTGGGTTGAAGACAGATGAAGTGTAATTTGAGAAAAGAATAGATAAAAGTGACAACAACGGTTAGGATAACAATCTTTTAAAACGATCGGATTACAATCTTCAAACTAAAACTTAAAACGAATAGTACTTTTGCTCGATTATCGAATAGTAACTATCGGTTTTCGAGTGCTTTTAAAAGCGTTTTCATCTCTTTACATTAGTCTTTTTAGTGATTTTTATCACATTTAACGAAGTAAAACTTTGTAAATTCAATTTATCGGCAATTTCAATTTATTCAAAAATTAGATCGGTAAGAAGAAAAAGTTGAAAACAATTAGAGAGATACATATAAACGATTATTATATTATAATACTGAGAAGACACATCACCGATAGATAACGATAACTATCTAGTAATTTTAATTTGAAGTTTTATAACCGTGTAATAATTTAACCAAATTAATATTCAACGATCGTTGAACGTAGTCGTGATAATGAAACGAAAATACATATTAATAATTTGTTAAGAGACTGTTGCCTTAGTTAATTAATCCCACCGTATATATTATTTATATCATAAATGATATAAAATATCATAAATCAATGTTTATACGATAATATTTGATTGTTTTATATTTTATCTGTTTTTTATTTTACAGGTTCCTGGCTATCTGGTGGCCGCTCAAATGTCAGATAACGAAAAGACGAGCACGAATGATGATAGTTGTGATTTGGTTCATCGCATTAACGACAACATCACCGTGGTTGCTGTTTTTCGATTTGGTATCGATTTACGAAGACGATCCTGACTTAAGATTATGTTTGGAAACATGGCCACATCCCGAGGACGGTTCTTTGTTCTTTCTTATTGGCAATCTTACACTTTGCTATGTATTACCGATGATCCTGATATCACTTTGTTATATCTTGATATGGATAAAAGTATGGCGTAGGCATATACCAACCGACACTAAGGATGCTCAAATGGAACGGATACAACAAAAATCTAAAGTTAAAGTTGTCAAAATGTTGGTAGTAGTTGTAATATTGTTCGTATTATCTTGGTTACCGCTTTACGTGATATTCGCTGTTATCAAATTGGGTGGTGACGTTGCCGACCGGGAAGATGAAATTTTACCGATAGCAACACCCATAGCACAATGGTTGGGTGCTAGTAATTCTTGTATCAATCCAATCCTATATGCATTTTTCAACAAAAAATATAGACGAGGATTCGTAGCAATATTAAAGAGCGGTCGTTGTTGCGGTAAACTTAGGTATTACGAGACCGTAGCTATGATGTCCTCGTCTACGAGCATGAGAAAATCTTCTTATTACGTTAATAATAACAATAATAACAATAATAATTCATCAACGAGACGTGCAGCTTGTCACGGACCACCTGTACATCAGGATAGTAATGTTTCTTACATATTCAATCACACGGGTGTTTAAAATGCATTTAAGAATTGACAAAAAGTGAGACACAATCATCTTAACACCTTGTTCTTGTACCATTGAGAAAGAGAGACAAAGACAAAAACAAAGACAAAGACAGAGAGAGAGAGAGAGAGAGAGAGAGAAAAATAAGAAAAAAAAGAAGAAAGTAAAAAAAAAAAGATTAAACGAAAATATATCTTGACACGATTAATGAAAAGGAAATCGAATAAATCGAAGAAGGTGTGAGAGAGAAAACATATATATATGAAGGGTGTTGCTTTTATCACCTTAACGACTGAAAAGGAAGACTAGACCAAGAAGACTCTTGTCTAGGCTCGAGTCTAGGCTGGCTGCCACGACTGGTAAAAATCGCTCGCATAAAAAAGATTTGTTTCTCTCCCAATGAGATTCGCCGGTTCCGAGAGATTCTGGGTCATGCTTGATCGTCACGATTGTAACTCGGGTCGGATGTCGAAGAAGAAAATGAAGAAAAATGATGAAGTTCAAGAAAAAGAAGAATAAGAAGAATAAGAAGAATATAATAACAAAAAAAATGAGATAACAAACAATTATTAAAAATTAAATTAAATGAGAGAAGTTGAGAAGCGTTGAGTTTGACTTTTTTTTGATGATACCATTAAAACTCAACGCTTAATTAATTACGTAAATAGTTCATTTCGTTTATACATTATTATCCTCGAGTTTAGGACGTTTATCAAAGATTTGAAAGAAAAACGATGAATGGATAATAATAATTTTTAGATTTAGATCCATCGATGATGATAATGATGATGATAATACGAAAGCTACGATTTATTACAAAAATTAGATTTAATTGAAATTTCCTATGATAAATTATCGAGGATCGTTCCTGCTAATAATTGATTTTAGAAAAAGGAAAAAAACAATAATATTATTTTTCGCACATAAACACAAACACTCAGACGTACACATACACATAAACATAAATATAAACATACACGTACATACATCGAAATAAATTTTGCATCAACTGATATTTTCTTTCGAGAGAAAAAAGGTTTTTTTCGACAAATAATTAAAAAAAAAAAAAAAATCAAAGCCTAAGCTTACTAAAATAGCGAAAAAATTTGTTTTTCTTTTCATATTCGAAAAGGGTTGGAAATACATTTCTATGAAAAAAAAAAGAAACAAAAATAAAAACAAAACTGATAAACTAATTTCACGTAGATCGATGTTCTCGATCAACGTATTTAGAAATTGGAGACTGTCCAAAGAAAATCAATTTTTATCCGTACACGCTGCATGTGATTTTTCGGCAAATATAATAATAATAATAATAATAATATATACACATATATGAATAATACTAATAATAATCATAAAATTACGAAATACACATGAATGAAAATACAAGTTGGAAAACACGTTTGAAAATAATAATCCTTCGATTTGTTTCCCCTTCACTGCCTAAAACACAGTGTAAAAATAAAAAGAAACAAAAAGAAAAAAAAAAAAAACAATTGTTAAAGAAAATTTTCCTAAGGCAATAAATAACAAGGACACATAAGTCGACTTTGGATAATAAAATTCATGTTAAAAGAATAAAAAAACATGGAGAATCCAGGAAAAGTTTAAAAGAAACAAAATACGCGCTGATCCATGCACGTGAAAAATAAAAATTAATTATGATACTTGCATATATATATATCATTGTATTGTTCCTCACGTGCATACATATACAGTTACACTTAAATCGTAGCACAAATCAGCTTTTGTAGGTAAATATATAATATATTGTATTATAACAGATGTTGTGTATACAAAAAACAAATATTACCAAACTTTGATTATTTATAAGATAATTATTAAAAGAAAATCGTACGGTTTCTTTACACATGGGGGTTAAAAGTATTTCCTTCTTTTTTTTTTTTTAAGTATTTCAAATTTTCAAAGTATGGTAAAATTTTTGTTTACGACATCCTGTATATAAAGTGACTCATGAAAGTATTTGAACACTTACCATGAAATACTATATTAATTATATTAATAATTATTGAAATATTATTAACATATTAAAAAGATAAAAGGTGTGATTATGTAAAATTATATAGATAAAGTTACAAGCAAATACACATATATGTATACAATAGTTATGAATTATTTCTTACAAACATGAACTTCGCTGATACCACACAAAAGTATATTTGAATAAATAATCCAAAATAATCATACCTACATATACTAACAATGTTAATAATATTTCTATATAATTATTGCATAATAATACTTATGATTATTAATAAAGTATTTAATGGTAAGCGTACAAATGCATATATTTATATATATGCATACCTATATATACATACATATACGTATACAAATATACCTGTATATATATGTATAAATATATATATATATATATAATATACATATATACACATATATTTTCTTACTGGAACGTTAGTCTCGACCTAGTATTATCGAGTTTCTCGAGGGTGCCATACACGTACATACACACACACACACACACACACACTTATGGATCAGAATAAAAGGGAGGAGGGAGAGAGGGTGAGGAATGGACAAGAGAGAATAAAGTATAGGATTTAAAATTGGTATATCAATGAATAAAAGGTAGGAGAAGAAAATAGGAATAAGAAACGAATTTTTTACTAGACAGATAGATAGACAGACAGACAGAAAGACAGACAGACAGACAGAAAGCTTAACTGTGTCGAGCAAGGAAAAAGCAATACGTGGAGCCGGCCTTCGTTAAATTGATTATTTTCTCAATTAATTATTTAAAATATTTCCTCTAGTATACACTCTTTCTTACCATTTTCCATTACCATACTATTCTCATGACCTGAGACGTTATTTCCACATCTAACACCAATTTCTAGGTACATGTAAAATAACCTAGAATAATAAAAGACATAGCATGCAGCAATCGCGAATAATCAATATAAATAACAATTTTCAATGGTATTTAAAACAGAATAAATAATAAAAACTAAAAATTGATTATACATATAATAAAAATCAGAATTTTTTAATGTAAATTCTTTGTTTCACCCTTATGAAAAAATCGAATATTTTTTTTATTCATAATTCAACAAGATTTTTATCATTTTTATATTAATTTTCGTTTATGTATCGTTCAGTAAAGTTAGAAACTTTTATTTTTTGTAGAAACAATGAAAAATCATATATGATACAATCGATATTACAAGTTGTTTCATTAAATTAATGTCATTCTCGAGTAGCCTGATCAAAATTCTCTTTTTTCTCTCTCTCTCTCTCTTTCTTTCTTTCTATCTATCTTTCTCATACTTCGATAGAACAATTGCAGTTGAAAAAAAATCTGTAAAAGGGATCTTGATATTTAATACTAAAAAAAAACGATAATTTTATTCAATAAGAAAAGGGCAAAAAAACGTGCATACCGATTTATTCTATTAGGATAAAAGGGTTGACACAACGTATTTGATTTAATATTTTATTTTTGGTATTTTCCTTTCTTAAATACATACAAATAACAATCTACAGGGTTGAAGTTCCATCTAATTAGAAGAACGAATAGTAGTAAAGGATATAAAAAAAAGAAAAAACAGGACTATACACATACACACACATCTACTATGCAACAGATAACTAACTCTATGTATACATATATTGCATACAAATGTCGTATCTGTCGTATCAGTTAGAGAGTTGAATTTTTCTAAACCATGCGACAAAAAAAAAAAAAAGAATAAGATAAAAATACAGTGGAATTTGTACTTTACCGTAATCTCAACGAAAAGATCTTAAAAAGAGAGACTACATTTTTCTATATGTTTTTTTCTTTCTTCTTCTTCTTCGCGACAAACAGTAGTAGTAGTCGTGTTATTTTGTTCCCTGCTTACGATCACTTATTATTATTACTATTATTATTATTATTATTATTGTTATTGTTATCGACTAAACGATTTGCCTTTTAAAGGTAGAGAACAACAAAAAATTATATGAAATATACTTAGAGGTTGAAAGGACAACGCGTACAGATATGTACTCTGTATGTATGTATGTATGTATTTATTTTCCTCTCCCTCTTTCTTTCTTTCTCTCTCTCTCTCTCTCTCTCTCTCTCTCTTTCTCTAAAAAAGAAGCTTTTTCTTTGTCTAAGAAAAAGCTTTGAGATAAAGGAAGTTTGTGATGTTATCGCATAACTTGTTAAAATTTTTGCAATAACAATACGAATATACTTAGAAAAAAAAAACCTGTTGACGATTCTTAAAGAGAGAGAGAGAGAGAGAGAGAGAGAGAGAGAGAAAGAGAGAAAAAGAGAAGAGAACAGGGATATGGTGAATATACACAGTTAAATATATTATACAATTGTAAATGTAAAAAAAAAAAAAGAAAACCACCTACGAACGTTACAGTCGTTCGATAAAAAGAAAAAAAAGAAAAAAAAAGAAAAATTAAAGAAATTTCTGTAACGAAAGTGAAATTAACTTTGAAATCTTTATAAGGGAATTAAGACGAACAGGGAAAGGGGTTGAACCACTTATTAAACTATGGAAAAAGATTAAGGGGAAAGGTGGTTTCACTCTTTACGGGTTTGTTGCGGGATTTTACGATAGAGCAATTATTTTCGTAAGGTTTTTATACGAGGAATGACGAATGGGATATTTCAAATATAGTTATAACGTGTCAGCAAAATATGTATAGACATACGAAAAGAAAAAAAAAAAAACAAAGAAATACACACAAACACACATACACATATATGATATGATATAATATGATATCGATAAATGTATCCTTTATCCATATCCAATTGTAATTAAACGAATATAATTGAAATGAATAATTTATAGACAATTAAGAAAACAAAAAATATAATAATAATAATAATAATAATAATAATAATAATAATAATAATAATAATAATAATAATAATAATAATAGATAAGAAAGAGAAGAATTGGTAAAAAAAAAAGAAAAGAAAAACAAGGAAAACGGAAGGAAATACGTTCTTTTGTAGGGATTCTCATTGAAAAAAAAAAAAAAAATAATTTCATAAGAAAGATAAATAATACGTCTTTAAAAAAAAAAAAAAAAAGAAAAAATATCGTCTAAAAAGGGCTTACAGGATCTATTTATTAGATTTTTAATGAATAAGAAAAACGATCGATGTGAATTTTCAAACGTCGGATAAACGTGATGCTGATGCTGTGTTTGCAATATGTCGATGATGTGTATGTTTTACGTGAAACGTAATGGAATGTTTTTACGAGAATGATTATTAAAATATTACATGTATATACATACATATATATATATATATATATACATGTTTGTATTAGATGCATTAAGATTTAAGCGTACGTTTATCTGTCTGTGCATGTAAATAGATAATTATTTATTATATTATCTAACGTTAACTATTGTATTACTGTTGTTATACGATACTTGCCATAAGAATAGTAATCTAATTCAGAGCATCATTCATTCTCTTTCTCTCTCTCTCTCTCTCTCTCTCTCTCTCTCTCACTCTATTATGTTAAATTTTTAATGATGCTTTTTATAAATGATAACCGTGTTTGTATTAATATGTTCTTTATTTTTTTTTTTTTATTATATTTTAATGTGCATAGAATATGTTGATTCTGTTTGACCGAAAAAAAACTTTTGACACCACCCACTGTTACAATGATAGTAATAAAAAACAAAATAACAAAATAACGCGAGCAACATTTGTTTCAAAAGAAATATTCACTTGTTCTTTTTTACAATCTTACGTAAAAAAAAAAAAA